TTGGTTTCAGTTTGAGGCATACTGGTGAATCAGTTATGGCTTGCAGAGGTTGAGATCGAGGATGACTCCTGTAAAGGAAATTTTAGATAATGGTTGTGTTACACTCTATGGGTATATGGAAATCATGGGATTGAGTGGTTATTTGTGAAGTATGTAGTGTTCATGGAGTAGAAATTTACTTGGTTACTTAGACGTGTGAATTACTTCTTAGGTTGTTGGGGTGCAAATGGGGCACAGGTCATTCGGTCCGTTTGGGCGGTGCTATTGAGATTCGAGTAGACTGGATGACTCTCGAGAATGGTTCTAATGAATTCAAGATTTATATGTGGCAAAGCCACGCTTGATTCGTTTGGTTCTATTGCTACAAGAATTCGATCTAGAAATCCGTGACAGAAAGGGGACGGACAATCAAGTAGCAGACCACCTATCGAGGTTGGAAGGAGCAGAAAAGAGAATGGAGGTTGAAGATATCACAGAGACATTCCGGATGAACTGTTACTTGCTATGACAATGGAGGAGGCGCCATGGTATGCTGATATTGCTAATTATTTAGCAAGTGGTATTGTAACCTATGAACTCTCTTCAATTCAAAAGAAAAAGTACTTTCGCGATTGTCGGTAGTATTATTGGGATGAACCTCTACTGTTCGAAATATGTATAGATAACATGATCCGGAGGTTTACCCCGAGAAAGATCAACATTCTGTTTTGCAGGCTTTCCATGCTTCACCACACGGTGGACACTTTGGAGGAATTTGGACAGCAGCTAAGGTGTTGGAATCGGGTTTGTATTGGCCAACTCTGTTCAAGGATGCGCACGCATGGGTCAAAAGTTGTGATGAATGCCAAAGGACAGGCAACATTTCTCGTCGTCACGAGATGCTAATGTTACACCCCATAAGTTTAACATTCTTGGTACCATTATATATATATTTGATATGGTATTTTGAGTAGAGCATTTTATGTAAAAACAAACAAAATAGTTTGAAAAATACGATTTTATATTGTTATTAATATTACTACGTTTGGATATGTTTTAAATTGTACACACGATATGAGAAAGTTTATGAGGTTTTCTTTATTGTAAAGATAGAAATTATTTTCTCACATGAAAAAGAAGGTTAATGTTTTACCATTTCAAAAAAATGAAGTGTACGAAAATTTGTACTCTTTATATGAGATTAGAAAAATTATAAGTTGAAAAAAATATATAAGTATTTTTTACATGGACGTTTTAATGAAATAATAGTGTATGAATATATTCTACATGGTACCACATGACCATAATAGTATGGTGTATAAAGTATATTAAAAATAAGTAGAATTTTAAGTAATTTAAGACAATTCTTAATTATACTGGTAATTGGTAATTATCCAGAATATTTTGGAAAGAACATAACGTGGCAAATTTTTGGCTTAATACAAGTGCATGCGGACATGTGGCACATCTAAGAGTGCCCACATATAAGTCCCCAAGTCGGTTCTATCCTCATTTTTTTATCTCCCTTTTTCATCTTAAATGTTCACTATAATCCTTGTGGACATCTACGCAGACCTGTGGGGAGTTCTCATTACAGTTTTCCACTTTACTGTTTGCATTCCTATTGTGTAGCAAGAGATTCTTAGCAGAAAGCTTCTTTATGTTGGCATGGCTACTGAAAAGAAGCTTGGAATACATAGCTTGGAATACATCTCTTGTTATTTGGTTACAACATGGAAATAAACACACATCACTAAGAATATTGAATTTGTTACAAACCTCTTCTTGTTTCTAAGATACCTTTTTTGATCTTTTTCCTATAAATGACACACATGATATGGAGTGATTCATGTAACTAATTTACTTGGTATTGGATAAATCCATGGGGTTTTGTCACGATAGCTTTAAAGGTATATGGTGTAGCTTGGAGCTCCAAAACGTTCTTTCTTGCTTTCCATCTTAAAGAACATAGGAAATTGAAGGAGTTCGTTGAATTGGTTATAGTGAAGAGTTCTTTGGTTGCACTAGTAAAGTTTCAGTTTTCATGACTGGCTAGTCTATTGTTCTTGAATCAAAACTTATAATTTGCAATCCAAGTCTAAAGTAATGCTCTTAAATTACTTCATAGAAGACAAAATTGAAAGGTTATCAGTATAAAGAAAACATAAGTTTTGGTTGATTGGGTGCGTCGATGCATATGCTGATAGGACATTGCATGTATCCGGAATAGTAGTGAAAAACTCAGTTGCTCGGACTCTCCAAATTTTTCAAGGTATGTTAACGCTATCCCTTTTTTCTTTTGGCATGATCCAAGTAACGATACGTAAACGTAATTTTATTCCATAAATGGTTCTACTCTTAGCAGTTAAGAATGTCTATGTTATTTGTTCCCTATGATCCCGCATATTAATTTGAGGACATTAATTACGTGTGATAGTTGGCATCCTGTGTATAGTTTTCTGATATTTGTTAAGACCACATTCTAGCCCCTCTACGTGTTCTGGGAACGATATTGTTCCAATTTAATCCTTAATTTTAATACCTTTGATGATATAGAGAAAGCAAGAAAAGGACGGAGACAGATTTGATGTACTAAGATATTAAGATGCTCTGACCATGTTCATACTTATAATTTGCAGCTTACTTGACTAAGTGGGTGAGAGGAAATTGTAGGTCAGTTTGGCTGTGTACTAATTACACAGATTTGGTGCTTCGCTTTTGGAGTGTTTCCATATGTATAATTTCCATTTCATGGATATTACTCTGAGCAGAAGGCTTCCACTAAAAATGATTGTCATTTCATTTGGTTCCTTTTGTAGCCAGTAGCCTAATTTACAGTTGCATTTCCTGACGAAGTATGGCAGTTATTCATTTATCACCGAGCTACGGCCGGTCGGGCAGGTACCACCGGTTGGGCAGTTATGTATTATTATTTATCACCGGTTGGGCAGTTATGCATATTCATTTACCACCGAGCTACGGCCGGTTGGGCAGTTACACATTTACCACCGAGCTACGGCCGGTTGGGCATTTACATATTCACCGCCGAGCTACGGCCGGTCGGGCAGTTATATATTCACCACCGCGCTACGGCCGGTCGGGCAATCATGCATTTACCACCGCGCTACGACCGGTCGGGCAGTTACCACTGATCAGTTGGGCAGTCATGCATCATACGATATGAATTAGATTCAAAGAGAAGTATTATGTATATATATAAGTATAAGTATGCATATACGGTGGCACTTCAGATATTCAGATTGATTCTTATATATCTTTAATAATGTTGACTTAATATTATGTTTCAGTTCTGCCTTACATACAAGTATATTATTGGTACTGAAGTCATTTTGTTGGGGACGCTGCATTCATGCCTGCAGGTATATATAATCAGTTGACGAGCCCTCATAGTAGACGAGATTGGCATTCAGCGAAGGATCGGTAAGACTCCACCTCATTCGGAGTGCAACCGAGTCTATGAGTCATCGTGTCAGAGTTTTGCTACAAACTTATGGATAGGCCGGTACCCTGTCCCATTTGATGTCAAATAATCGTAGAGGCTTTGTAGACACGGGTTTATTATGTATAGTATGTCAGAGGCCTTGACGGCCCGTATGTATTCATGTTTTAAGCAAAAAGTGATTCAGTGATACAGTATTTTTCCACTTACAGTTGTACGTTACGAGTTGTGGCAATGTTGGCCCATGATAGTTACAAAAGGAATGAATGAGTTACAGAGTGGTTCGCTCGGGCCACTATGACACCGGATGCCAGTCACGCCTCCCCAGGTTTGGGGTGTGACAGCTAATGACTACAATTCAAGAGGTGGAGGTTTTTGACATGCGGGGCATCGACTTTATGGGGCCGTTCGTCAGCTCATACGGTAACAAATATATATTGGTAGCGGTTGACTATGTCTCCAAGTGGGTCGAAAAAGTGGCTCTCCCGACCAATGATGCAAAAGGAGTGAAAAGTTTTCTAAAGAAAAACATCTTCACACATTTTGGCACCCCGAGAGCTATAATCAGTGATGGTGGAGCCCATTTTTGCAATAGAGCATTCGCACGCCTGTTGGAAAATTATGGAGTTTGCCACAAAGTTGCCTCACCTTATAACCCAAAGTCGAGCGGGCAAGTTGAAGTGTCAAATATGGACATTAAAAGTGTCCTTACAAAAATAGTGAATGCAACAGGAACCGATTGGGCGAAAAAGCTGGATGATGCATTGTGGGCGTACCGCACAACATTCAAAACTCCAATTGGTATGTCACCGTACAAGTTGGTGTTTGGGATGGCATGCCACCTTCCAGTAGAGCTCGAACATAAAGCACTTTGGGCATTACGGCAGTTGAAATTGGATATGGAGACCGCAGGCACCAGCAGAATCACTGGGTTATATGAGCTTGAGGAATTCAGGTTCCATGCAATTGAGAGTGTTTGACTATACAAGGAAAGGATGAAACTAATGCATTTGGATCGAAACTTCAAACCCGGAGATCTAGTGTTGTTATACAACTCGAGATTGAGATTATTTCCGAGTGAGTTGAAGTCCCGATGGTCAGAACCCTTCAGAGTGGTGCAACTGTTCTTATATAGAGCTGTGGAAATTGAATAAGAAGATGGAACAAATAAGTTCACGGTGAATGGGCAAAGGCTAAAATATTAACTATGCATGGCCGACGAAAAGGGGATAGAGTGGTAATAACTTTGTAAGAGCCCCAGTACGCGAATGTGGAGTGCTAATCAAAGCGTGCGTCTGTTACACCCCCACTACAAGAAAAAGCCTTATTAGGGACCAGCATTTAGCGACAAGTTTTAATTATGGTCCCTAAAAGTGTACTTATAGGGATGAAATTTTTTTTGGTCCTTAATATGCAATTTTATCTCTTAAATACACCACCAGACCTATTCTGGTCTACACAAAAATTAATATGTGGTCTCTAATACGATTTTAGCGGGATAGGCTGGCGGGAACTAATGAAAGCTAAAAATAAAAATAAAAATAAAAAAAGAAAGAAAATTAAGCTCCAAATTACACGATATCCCTCTAAATTGTGTTTCACCCTAAAATCTCTCAAACTTTCAGCCTAAAATCCCTAAGAGACTGCCGATAGAACTCCTTCAAAATTAAGAATCTCAGACGCTAAACTCCTTCAAAATTCAGCATCTCAGCCGCTACAAAGATTGAGCAAGGCGGCGAACTCTGTTTAGTTTGATCGAGCGAGGCGGCGAACTCTGTTCAGTTTCTTCTTTGGAGGCCGCTAATCCTCCAAAGGACTTTACACAAATTATACTATTGGATTATCCGCTAAACAAGAGTAAGTTCAATTTCTTTCTCTTTGATATGTTTTGTTTTTTGCTTCTTCTTGGTGTCCTTTTTCCCTTTGAATCAGTAATCGCAAAAGGTGTTCTTCAATTTTTTGTTTCTTTATATGTTTTCTGCAACTTAGAACTCTATATATGGATTCAATTTCTTCAATTTGAAGCAGAAATTGCAAAAGGGTTCTTCAATTTCTTTCTCTTTTATTTTTTGTTTCTAGTTACGGAATCGCAAAAGAGTATCTAATTAGGGAATTTAACATTTGGATAGTCTAGGCTGGATTCTATGTACATTTATGAGTTTGTACATGTGCGTAGTAAATAGATCTAATATCTGTTGGCAGTTTTTTCTGTGGTAGAGACAAAGATATACAGCTTCTATTGTTGAGTAATCTACTCCATCCAAAACTAAATAATGAGATAATAATGCATGTTAATTATGATTATTATAACGAAGTTGTTGAAGATTTTTAAGTAATAAAACCAACAATTGAGTCGGAGAGATTTCGAGATGATTTCTTGATGGAATATAATGACACATTGTTAGTTAGTTACCTGGCCATGTTCACCAACTGCTCTAGTACAATGAACGAGTTGGTTGACAAATTGAACACTGCATATGAGCGGCATAGCAGGAGGGGTGGTAGAACTGCTTTTATCTGAAAGTTGATAGTTCTCCAGTATTGCCTTTTTGCGCTATGTCTTTCCTGCTATAGTTGCAGCATCTGCTGAGTTTTGGTATCCCATTCATGAAAATTTAGGAATCATTTAGTAGCTTTGTTTTTCTTTTGCCTCCCTTTAGTGTTCGCCTGCCCATTTTCTTTGATTCTTGTGGTGCAATCATAGTTACAATAGAAAATGACAGGATTTTGGGGACAGAAGCCTATTATATGTGGAAACATTTTTGGAGAACATGTGATAATCTTAAGGGAAAAGGGTAAAAAAAAAAAAAGACACATCAGGATATGTAAAGTTCGTTCATTCTTGATTATGTAAGAAAAGATATTTATTTTTAACCAAATCAACATGGTGTGTAGTGGTATACAAGTATAGTTTGTGCTACAATAGGTTAAATTGAAGTTTGCCCATCATATTGAATTCACAGAAGTGCATTCATCTCTAGGACATCATTGCTAATTTTGTATCTTATGAGAAACTTTTAAATGGAAGGTATCAAGAAATTGTTTAATCAGGATTGAGACCCTCTAAAGCACTCAATGATTTAGGGGAAGTATCACCTTTCCAGTATAAAAGGTAGGGAAATTTGATGTGAGATACTGATGTTGACCATTTCTTCTGTAGCTCCTTGTGGAACTGCTTTGTTGCTTTCGCTTGGTGAATTGAATTAAATGTAGAAAAATATCAAAAAGTCACTTATATGAACGGAGGAATACTGTTTAAGTTTATTCACTTGTTTGGTCCAAGAAAAAAGGAGCATTAACCCTATTAGTTGCTCATGCCTATTGGTTGCATAGTGAAAGAGAAGAAAAATATAAGTAAAATATTAGATTTTAGATGTATATAACATATATTGAACACCCTTTGTGAGGAAATATTTTTACTCCTTTAAAGTCTGAACACCCTTAGAGAATTTTCTAGCTTCGCCACTGGCCACAATCTTAGGCTCGGAGACAGGAAAAAAAAAACTATAAGTTTGTTAATATAGCTTTTACCCCACTTTGTCATCTGTTTTTGGGGTAATAAAACAGGGGCATAAGGTGATTCAATCAGCTCATCAGATGAGAAACAACCAATTAAATTGATCGATAAACTTAAACAAACTGGGCTAAAAGTTCATAGATTTTTGCAAAACTGTGTAACACTAAATTCAGAGACGAATGGAGCATAGTTTGTATGGTTCAACTGAGAGAAACTACAACTGTAGTAATCTTTTCTACAAATACGTATTAAATTATGAACCCGTATACAAGTTATTGAATGAAAGTACTCTTTCTGTCCATTTTCTTAAAAGTTATCGCATCACGTAAAATATTAATATATGCAGTTGATTGCTAAAATTTCTTTTAAAACAAACCTTTCATCTTTTCTTTCTTTTTGTCTAAAGATATTCTCCTGGTTTCAACTTATTGAACTAGTATACTTATAATTTGACTCTATAAACAAAGATAAATCCTAAGCTACATTGATTATCAGAAGGAAACGATTTCCCAAGCCAGTGTTAGACAAAAATAACCCATAGTCTATGAATGTTTATCACGGAGAAAAGGAACAAAAATATAGCTCTAGTATTGGAACCAGTCTTTCATAATTAGTTCGGAAAGCAACATAAATTTATATCCAAAGGAGAAAAGAAACAAAACAATCAAAATAATATATGATAATCAAGAATAAGTGGATCAGATTTAAGATCGCAGGCATATAAATTATAGTCTAAGGATATATATGCTGAGTTTCCTTTAAATAACGGCACAATGAGACTTCCTTTGATCACATATATGGTGAAGATAACAATAATAATTGGGTAATAAGGGGGGAAAACTAATTGAAGAGCAATAAAGCAGCCCACCATAAGTTCACTGAGATTTCTTTACATGGGCGTTAAGCGAAATTACAAAAGGAAAACAGAAAGAGAATGTTCTTCTGGGGAAAATGGAGATGCTAACAAAGAATAGAAAATAAAAAAATGATGAAGTAATTTGACACTTTGGTGTCTGCTTTTATAGTATAGTAAAGTGTGAGTAAAGACTATGCATAAATGTTAGTACTATAATCGGTAGAAGCTCATAGGACCAAACAGAGAAAAGTTGAAATGTGAAACAATGCAACTGATTTTTTTCTTTTATTGTAATTTAATAGAAGACAGGTTCTTACTCATGGGCAATATTGCCACTTACTTTTAAGGGTATATTTGTAAATCAACTTTTAACTTTGGGTCTTCCCATTTTTAGTATAATACTAATTTCTGAACACGCGCGTTGCACGTGAATTCCATATTAATTTGTACAATTGAGATAAGATAAAAAAAAATCAGTGATTTAATGTTAGAGTGTCTTATGTGTTTTAATTTCTCATTTTATTGAGCAATTGTGAGTTATATGTTATGCATATCAACTTGTAATTTATTTCATTCTTGTAAAATCGTTGGAAGTTTAGTCATAAAGATGAGTCTGGCAAGTGTAATAACAAGTAATGTTCATCGTAGTACTTTCTTTTATAAGTAATGTGCATCTTAATGTTTTTGTGATCTTAAATTTTTAAATATTATTTCTATTTACTATCCAAGGTTATGGCACCAAGTAAGCGATGGATGCAACTTGTTGATAACCGACTTGACGAATCCTACTTAGTTGGGGTGCAAAAATTTTTGGATTATGCATTTAGAGAACGGGAGAATTATATGAAATACGATGTCCGTGTGTCAAATGTTGTAACACAACATTAGGAACACGTGAGACAGTCGAGATACATTTGAAAGTATATGGAATAATTCAAAATTATACTTTTTGGTATCATCATGGAGAAGTTCTGGGCGAGTCACAGTTGGAATGCGAAGTTGAAGATGATAATGAAGTAGATGATTATGAGGATGAGGATAAAATACATGAAATGCTGAGGGATTTGTATCCTAATCATGATGGAGGCACTGCTGATGTTGGTTACAATGATTTACTTGAAGAAGAACCAAATGTTGAAGCCAAAAAGTTTTACAGCCTATTAAAAGATTTCGAGAAGCCACTATACCAAAGTTTGAAAATTTCAAAGATTTCTACTTTGATTAAATTGCTTCACATAAAAAGTATGGATCGTTGGAGCAACGAGTCATTTACAATGTTATTAAAAATGTTCAAGGATGAGACGTTGCCTGATGGAGCGAATTTGCTAAATTCATATTATGAAAAAAAAGGTGATTCGGGACCTTGGGCTTTCCTACCAAAAAATTGATGCTTGTATAAATGATTGTATGCTATATTGGAAGGAAGATAATTTACTTGATTCCTGTAAAGTCTGTGGTGCATCCTGATGGAAAACAGTTAAACAAAGCGGGGAAGCAAAGAATAATAAGAATGGTAAAAAAATAGCATCAAAGATTTTACGTTATTTTCCACTGAAGCCTAGGCTTCAAAGGTTGTATATGTCTGCAAAGACATCTTCTCTAATGACATGGCATCATGATAAAAGGGTTGATGATGGAACAATGCGGCATCCAGCTGATTCAATGGCATGGAAATCATTTGATGAACTTCATCCCTCATTTGCGGCTGAGCCTCGTAATATTTGACTTGGACTTGCTAGTGATGGATTCCAGCCATTTCAGAATTCAAAAACCTCATATAGTATTTGGCCTGTGGTACTTATTCCTTATAATTTACCACCTTGGTTGTGTATGAAACAGGAAAATTTCATTATGTCCATGCTTATAATCCAAGTATCGGAATTCAAAAACCTCATATAGTATTTGGCATGTGGTAGCTTTATTTACAAAATTGAAATAAAGCTAAGGCATTTGTTAATTCAAGCTTTATTGTAAAACTATATTTTCTTCTATCACATGGAGTTTCTGCAATCATATTGGATATCAATATATGTTTGATGTATTGCAGGATAAATTTGAGAGTGATGACATGGATATCCATCGCGATCATATTATGGGATGGATGAAAGAGTTATGGAACAAATGGAGAGCACAATTGCATGCAACATATGTGAAGGGTAAGCCAATCCAAGAGGCTCTTAAGAATGTGCCCAAGGGGGTAGACAAAAAATAATGGGAGTGGTTGGTAAAGGAATATTTTTCTACAGAAAGTTTTTAGGTTTGACATAATACCTAATTATGTAATTTTATTTTATACAGTGATATTTTAATTGATAACTTATTTATAGCATTTGATTTAATGTTGTCACTCAAATATAGGCGAGAAGTAACAGGAATGCAGCAAATAGAACTAAGTTGAAGATGCTTCATCATATTGGTAGCAAGCCAATCAGAGAGATTATTTATCAAAAGGTGTTATCATCAAATCTATTTTTGCTTAATATTGACGAGACATTATTTGACATATTTACTTTTATGTAAAGGGCGGAAAAGATGGAAAACCACCAGATTTGGCAACTATTTTCTTCGAGACTCGCAAGAAAAATCACACACTTATTGAACCAGAAACAATCGAGAAACATGTGCGTTTGGTTAATTGAACATGTTCTTTACTTTTAGTTATTATGGGATCTGACAAAAATTTCTCTATATACTTTGTAGGCTCAAATCAAGGAATTGGTGCAGTCTGAACCGTCACTTCCTAACATAGAGATTGTAGAAAAATGCTTTGGACCTCAAAGTTGTAGTCATGTAATTGGCTTTGGGGGTGGATTAAAGGCGAAAGATTTGAAAGGGGGAACTACATCAAAAACTGAATTATTGGCTAAGCTACGTTTAACTGAAAATGAAAACCAGTCTTTGAAGGATCGTCTGTCTAACTTCGAAAATGAGATGAGAGAATTGAGGAAAATAAAAGAATTAGTATTAGCGCAACAAACTAATTTCCAGCCTCCAGCTGAGGAGAATGACTATTTGGATCCTTGATGATACCAGGTGAGTAACAACTTACATGAAACCTCAATTTATTTTGTTGATTTAAGAGTATGTTAATCTATGAAAGTGATTTAAGTGTATGTTAATCTATGAAACTAATTTCCAGCCTCCGTCGCTAAAGGTTTTTTTGGTAATCTGCTAGGCAAGCGTCTAGGGCTTAGTTTTATTAATATAAAGAAAATTAAAAATTCCATTGTGTTTATTCTTATTCTAGTTCAATTGTAGTAGGTGATTTAAAACTTGTACCTTTCTAGCTTTCATAGAAGCAATTGTATTAGGTACTTTGAGTATTCAAGTTAGAGTTAACTTGAAAGTGTCGCAACAGTTGAGGCTGTGAGCCACACTGGGATTAGAGTTAATACTTAGGTTTACAAGAGTTTTGTAAATGCTGTTTTTGGCTCATTGAGTTTAGTGGATGTTTGGGAAAATCCTACTGAGTAGTAGGTCGTGGTTTTTTCTACCTTTTGAGCCAGGTGTTTTCCATGTAAAAAATCTCCGTGTTCTTTATTTTATGTACTTTTAATNAACTGCACTTGACTACAAAGTAGTACAACATGTCTGGTAATGAACCACGCGTGACAGCTTTTTGCTGTTTTTGATACATGAGCATGTGGTGCACATACAACATGCTTGCAATGTTCGATGCCTTGCATAATCCAAGTATTAACACTTTTCCTTGCCATAAGAACTTGAAATTGTTGTGCCGTTGTCCTTTTCGAGCTGTGTGTTTTGTTATTCTTCTGTTGCTTCTATATCTTCCATTAGTGATTGTAGTTGCACCTGTAGCATTCCAGTTTTTAATTTGAAACAATGCATTACTGCACAATCTGGGCAGCCTCTTGTGTAGTGTGTTCCAGTAGACACTGCTGTGTTGCCTACTGCTACTCCTCCAGGTATCCATGCTTTTGTTCATTACTGATATTTCATCATGGGGCTGAGCACAAAGTACTAATACCACCCATAGATGATTTACCAGTAAATGAAGCCTGGACACATTGGCTTTTCCTGCAAAAAAGAAAACTATGTTAGCTACAAAACTGGTTCCTGTAATCTCCTCCTTAAGGATTTGACCACAGTGGATGATATTCCCATCTGCTCCCTTAATTTGCCATTCCAAACCACTGATCATACTCTCCTCCTATTTGATTTGAGTATAACATTTTAGGACTACCTCTCCCATTGCCTGCATACCACCTCTCCTGCATACCACCTCTCCTCGTTGGTACCCCTTTTCCTTCTAGTTTCCTGCAACTTTCACTCTTATATATGGGCATTGTGACTTGTCATCATTCACTATTTTCCTTCCTTGTGTATCCAGCACCCAGAAATTTTTGCTTCAATATCTCCAAAGTCCAGAGCATAGTTAGCTAAATGATCAGCTAATTTGTTTCCTTCTCTGAGGGTGTGAGCCACTGTTACATTGCTTCTCCCTCTTTATTCCTTAGCACATATCCTATTGAGCTTCTCCCAGGATTCTCCCTTGAGACTTGAGTATCTATACGTCTGTTATATATAGTTTTTCTAACTGAAATTTCTTATTTCTTCAACAGGTTTTGGATATTGAAGTTTACGAGAAAGCCGATTTTTGACAACATAGAGATCAACCACAATTTTGCTTGGAATTTCAAGAAAATTTTACATTACAATCGAGGGATATTATTATATGTAGTTTTTTGCTAAATGTTTATGAACACAATATTGTAACTGGCTTAAATCATTGATGTACGATTCAACTAATTAACTGATGTTGATCATTTTTGGTATTATTTTATGAAAGCAACATTATCTATATATTAATATTTTCGATTTTCTAGTTGCAAACTAAATGTGATTTAGGGACTTGTGACTTGTTTTTTTAGTTACCAACTTTAAACTTCTCTGAATAGATATAACGGCCAGCTTCTAACTGGTTGTGAAACGTTTTAACGACCATATTTAAACTAGCCGCGAAAATATTTTAAGGACAATAAATTTACTGGTCGTGAAACGTTTTAACGACCATATTTAAACTAGCCGCGAAAATATTTTAAGGACCGAAATTTAGTCCCTAAAATATGCAAATAAGCACCAGAAATGTGGTCCTTAAAACACATTTAACAACCAGTTTGAAACTGGTCACTAAACTGTTTTAGCGACCAGCACACTATCTCGTCCTTAATAACCTTTAGCGACGGAGGCTATAAGGACCAGATTAGCTGGTCACTATTGAGCATTTGCGACCAATTTCTTACTTTTAGGGACCAGTTTTCCCTTCGCTATTGAGCATTTTTCTTGTAGTGCCCGTAAGTTTAACAACCTTGATATCGTTATATCTATATTTGATATGGTATTTCTGAATGGAACATTCTTGTAAAGAAAAAAAGAAATGTTTTGAAAAATATGATTTTATATAGTTATTAATATTTCTACTTCCAAATATGCTTTAATTTATACAAATAATACGAGAAAGCTTATGAGAGTTTCTTTATTGCAACGATAAAAATTATTTTTTTTGCACAATAAAAGAAGGTTATCTTTTTATCATTTTAAGAATTAAGCGTACAAATTTTTTTACTTTTTATATGAGATTATGAAAATTAGAAGTTGAGAAAATATATGTATTTTTACGTGGATGTTTTAATGAAATAATAGTGTATGTATTTATTTTATATGGTACCACATGACCATGATAGTAGGGTATATAAAGAGTATTAAAGTGAGTAGTATATTAAGTAATTTGCGCTAATTTTTAATTATATGGATAATTATGCTAGTTAAGAAAATTAGATAAGCCTAAAGGCTTCCCAACGTGGCAGCCATACAATACCTATTAGGTGATTCTTAATTTAATTTGCAAGGTGGCAAAGTTATCTTTATCTCATTTGATTGAGAAACGTTATGAAGAAGGAAAAAGGTTACATTTAATAATATAGGATGAACAGTGATTAGGGGGAGGGAAAAAAAAGTAGCTACTACGTCCTATTTCTTTACCACACACCAATGTGGAGCAACAAAAAGTGCTTCTGTTGGTACAAAGTTGATAACGTCCAGTGGATTACTTATGTGCTCTCCTCTTCAGAAATTGAGCTTTAACTTGAGAAGTTTTATCCTAATCTCATCTGCACTCAAAATCTTGGGCATATGGCAATTACCTCCGAGCTTCTTCATAAACAATCTGTGGTTGTAAAGCAGATATGCAAGTTATTCCCTCAGCGTCGTGTAATAGTTGATGGAGAGAAAAAAGACACATCTAGTGGCCAATATGATAGCATCTGTACTGCAAGGTTGCCAAGAGCACTTGATCCTCATTCAGTTCCATCTAATGAGCTGGGTGCTTCTTTAGGGTAATTTCTTTTGCTTGCTCATTGTTTGACTGAAAATTATCGAATACTTTCCAGGCAAATCAATCGAGATAATTCAAAGGGTAAATCAGAGTCAATCATAATTAATCACTGAATTAGAAGACCAACTTGAGACATGGAAATAATCAATTATGGAACAATATAAATGGGGTTTTATTCATCAAGGTGACTTGACCTGCTTCTCCTTGAAGAGGTTCAGGATCTTACATTGATCTCGTTTCTTTCTCCACTTATGGAGTATATCTTTCTATTTCTGGAATATTCAGAATTGTGTCGAAGAAGAAGCCCCCCTTGGGAGGTTCTCTCTCTTGGTATTTATAGCCTCAGGCTTTTTCATCTGGTCACGAATGGGCCCCTCCTTTTGTTGTGGAGACGTCCCTTTATTTGTTTTAAGGACAACTGTCATAAGTCAAGAGTCAGCGGCGTTGACCATTTACTACAAAGCGGTCGAGATGGGGTTGACCCCCTGATCGCAAAATGGTCGAATATCTGCCAATACAGTTAGTCCCTCCGTTCGTCGAGGTCGTGCTCGAGTCGACTTCGACGGACGGATAGAGCGGCGTGATCGGGGAGGGTCCTAAAAAATGAATTTTCGGAATTGAACTGTTGGTTGGCGAGTGGAGCGTCATCCCGCGCAGTCGTTCGTAATGGCGCACGTTTTCATGAGACCGAATCGCTTCGTGCACGATTATGTATTAATGGCGATCGTTGGGTCCCGTGCAGGCAGAATCCGTTATTTATAACTAGAGAAGATGTGTCATTTTGTTCTTTACATGTTCATTGTTCTTCTAAGAGGAATCTCGAGAAGCCTTTTCTTCTGTCAAATAGCATTTTCACTATTCTTCCGATCATTATCATCATTGATTTCTCCGTCTCCCTTGTCAAAATTCTTCTTTCTTTCGCTCGTGAATCGATTATGGCAGGCACTTCTTCTCGCGGCAATCGCTCGGCTAATTTTCAGGGGGTCGAAAATCCCGCTCCGGTAGATGAAAGGTTAGAGTTGGTGGGAGGTGAGGAAATTCCTTCGGTCGATGAAATTCTGCCTCACCCAAGAGATCAAGTGATGGATTTCAGTGCATCGGGCGGCGTGGAACAAGGGGACATTGCTTCTTTAATGGGGGAAGTGGGGATAGCTCAAATGCGGGAGCGATGGCGTATCCCACATTATGCCGAGATCGCTCTTGCGAAGACCGAGGACAGGGTACAGATTGACCGTCGAGGGTATTGCTCGTTCTATGCTTATCCCTTCTAGGTGGGGTGTACACTCCCACTCCCGATGCTGATAGTAGACTTCTGTCGCTATTACGAGGTATGCCCGGCCCAACTTTCTCCTTGTCTCTACAAATTGCTCCTCATGTTCATCAAATATGAGGAGCTAGCGGGTAGGGAGGTCATTTTGAGGCATGTGCTCAGTCTTTTCGCTCCCCAAAAGATCCGCGGCACCATGAGCCACGCATGCCCACGAGGATCGAAGGGCTTGATGGTTGGGCTGGATGACGAGGTCATTCGTCATTCCTTTGAGAATTCTTTCTATATTCGGACTGAACACCTGGTGGCGGACCCAAACGGATTCCCGGAAGTTTGGAACTTTGCACGTGAGACCTCGTTCCTGACTGGGCATCCGCTCTATTTCGACTTTCCTCATGCTTTGCACTTATGGTTATTGATTTACCTTCATTTTTGTAGCTGAAAAGTTGCCGCCGCCTCCTTTGGAGGGGATCCGAGACTGGGTCGAGGCAGTGCTTCCTCGTACTGCGGGCATTCGCACCTGGGCGGCTTTCTGGGAGAGGCATGGTCGCAGGCCCGTGACAGGTGGAATTTCGATCCTTTCTCTTTTCTATTTCGTTTTGTTGTGACTGCGTCTATTGATTCGTTTGTTCATTGTACCTAGAGAGACCACGTCGTGCCAAAGCTCCACAATTGGCTTTCCGTCGGCCGGGTGCACTTGCTAGGCTAGCTGCTGCACCTGTGCCTCGTCGAGTACCGAGGGCGGCGTCAGTTGAATCGTCCGCGACCGCGTCCCCACCGCGGGCTATGCCACAAGATGAGAGGCCGTCCGGGCTTGTTCGTTCTCGGACGGGCTCGCCTTCGAATGAGGAGGAGGATAGGCCTTCGCAGAAACGGCGAGTGGCATTTGTGGCGGCTCCTCCATCGGTGATCAACTTGGATTCTCCCCCGACGGATTCGGAGGGCGGCACGGCTGTGGAGCTTGCTGGCGAGGAGAAGGAGTTAGTCGAAATTGAACCTGTCAGTTCTAGCCAAGGGAATGTTGTTGTCTCGACGACCCTGTCCGAAGTTCCTGTTGCCGAGGCGGAGGGTCGATCCTTACAGGCCGCCGTAGAGACCTCTGATGTACCAGTGTTGACCATGGTGAGTTGCTCTAGCCCAACGGTGGCGGAGAGGGGGAAGGACGTGGTGGAGGACGAGTATGAATCTGAGTCCGATTTGGACCCTGATGACGTTCGCATGTTCGAGGAGGGTATTACCAATTCTACGGTGCACACGGGGGAGCTGGCCCGTTTTATTGAGGTTCCCTCGGATTTGAACTTACTAACTGAAGGAACTAGCTTGGTGTCGCAGTTTGAGTTGTTGTGTTCAGAAGCCGAGAACGCGTCTTTGAGGAGCGTTTCGGATATTGAAGTGATGGACGAAGTGGCCGTGATGGGCCTGAGGGTACGTAGTACGTTCCTAGTTCCTTTTCTCCTTTCTTTGTTTTCTATATATTTTTTTCTTCCCTCCCGTTTTAGCTTTGGCCTCAACTTTTCCTTACCTTTGTTTTGCAGACTTACTTGTTGGAGGTGGAGAACATCCGCAGAGCCAAGGTTCGCTCGAGGATCTTCCTGCAGATGCTGGGGAAATATCGCCGTTATCGTGAACGGTGCCGAAGGCTGCACGTGCGTTTACGGAACGATCCCTGTAATCAGGCTTTGGGCGAGGAGTTGGCGAGGCGAGACCAGCAGTTGTTGCAGGCGCTTGGCAGTAAAAGTGCTCTTAAAGAGAAGATCCATCGGAAAGACGAGGAGCTTGAGGTGGGAAAGGGAATCGCAGCTGAGTGTGTGCACCTGCAGGGTAAAGTTGAGGGAGATGGAATTGGAGGCGGAACAGAATCGGGTCAAAGCAGCGGAGGGGGCTGCGGAATGGAGTGGGAAACTGGCAGCGTTGGAAGGCGAGGTTGCTGCCTTGAAATTTTTGGAAAGGGGTGCCTCATCGAGGGCTGGGGCGTTGGAGGCGGCGATCCGCGTGCACAAGTCTCGGCTTGAGTCGGAGAGGGAGACAGCGGCCCTTAAAGAGGCGGGGCTCGAGGAGCGGATTGGTGTTCTTGAGCAGGAGGCCCAAGTTATGTTGGACCGTATTGCGGCCTTGGAGGAGGAGAACCGACGACTGCAGAGCCAAGCT